GTTCTATTAATATAAGAATCCTGAATAAAATGTATCTTGCTTTCCACAAAAATATTAAGCGGCACAACTTAAGGAGTATTCAACTGTGACAATAACAGGGAATGTTTCCTGAAGACGGAAATAATGGCTGCTGAAAATTCAGCTTTGCCATCACAGGAATAAATAATTTTTTAAAAAATATATTAAAATAAAAAAGTTTTGTTTTTCAGCATAATAATATTTAACAATATTTCTGTTTTACTGTATTTTTATTAAATAAATGCAGCCTTGGTGAGCATTAGACTTCTCTCAAAAACAATTTAAAAAAATCTTACTGACCCCAAACTTTTGAACGGTAGTGTTTTTTTCAGGTGTTCATGCTCTGACTCATTTGGATGTCTGCTCATTCATCTGTTTCCTTATGCTTCCTGCATGAAGTAGTTTCAAACTCAGTCCCTGGTCACATGTTTTTAGTAGTTGTTGTTTTTAAGTTTTATTCATGCATGGCACATTACAGGTCTTTTTTCTGCAGTCAGTTCAGTCATTTACTTTCAGTTTCTCTCTGCATGCCTATCCTTATTTCTCTTTTCTCCCCCCCCCCTTTCCGTTCTTCTCACTTAAATGGATGTTAATGGCTTTGGCACTTCCTCACTTTTCATTGGTCACTTCACCCATCACGCACGTGCCACTGGTTACAGGGGGACTCCATGCCCGATCTGGGGCTCATACTGACCCCCTCTCCGGCCGCTCCCTCTCTGAAAGAGTCAGTGCGGCTGGCTCCAGTCCCTGCATGGAGGAAGGTAAACTGTAGTACAATCCCATGTTCCCAGATTCCCATTAACACTCTAAGTACCTGCTTACCTCTCTACTCATCCATATTTATTATTGTCTTTGTGACTAAATGAAATGTTTTTTTTTTAACTAAGCTTGTTTTGTTGAAATATGTCTTACATGTTCATTTTTCTTCATTTAGTCTTAATGCTGTTTCAAAAGCTAGTTTCTTGTCTGTTCGAGTTCAGAGTAGCCTTATATTTTACATAAATACTTAACATATTGTATAGATGTTATATTTTACTAAATTAAGTTCAAAAAGATGGAATTGAGGTATAAAAGAAGTGAATTTTGCATGAAACCATTCTTTTGTAAATTGACATACTAAATTGGCCTACCCAAAGGTAGTTTTATGAACGATTTACACAGAAATTCATTCTGCTCATGTGTCATGAATTGTTGTATACCTGGGTATTTGTCATTCAGGCATCAACATATATTTTCCCTAAATACTACAAGATACTTAACAGAATATGCTTCCTTCCCTCCTTGTTTTCTTTTGCAAAATAAATATATGCTACTGTTCCAAAGTTTGAGGTCAGTAATAATTAGAGTTAACACTTTAGAATAGGGAACACTGATTTACTATTAACTACGACTTTTCCCTCAATACATTCCTAATTTGCTGCTTATTAATAGTTAGTAAGGTAGTTGCTAAGTTTAGGTATTGGGTAGGATTAGGGATGTAGAATAAGGTCATGTAGAATAAAGCATTAATATGTGCTTAATTAGTACTAATAAATGGCTAATATTCTAGTAATGTGCATGCTAATAAGCAACTAGTTAAGAGGCCCTTAAATAAAGTGTTACCGAATTATAAAATGTTTTGAAAGAATTCTCTAATGCTCACCAAGGCTACGTGTATTTGATACAAAAAAAAACAATAAAATAAAAACAGTAATATTGTGAAATATTTTCACAATTTAAAATAACTTTTGTATTTTAATATATTTTAAAATGTGATGGCAGAGCTGAATTTTCAGCAGCCATTACTCCAGTTTTCAGTGTCACATGATCCTACACAAATCTTTGTAATTTGCTGATTTGGTCCTTTTTTTTTGTTATTAATGTAGAAAACAGTTGTGCTGCTTGATATTTATGTGGAAAACGTGATAATTTTTTCAGGATTTTTTATGAATAATAATAAAGGTTTATTTATATAGTGCCTTTCCAGTGCTCAAGGATGCTGTACAGTAAAGATACAATTTGAAAAGAAAAATATCAATATAATAAACAAAAATGACAAACACTAATACAAGTGAAAAAATTAGAATGAAAAAAGAAAAAAAACAGGACGCAAAATATGAATGATACCATTCAGAAAACAAAGGGATGCGGGACATAACTTACAAATGATAACATTCAGATAACAGGTGAGATAACTAGTGATTTAATTCAGAAATATTATTGAAACAGCGGAGAGATCGGGGGAGAGAATTCCATAGTTTGGGTGCAGCACCGCTGAATGATCTACCCCCCATTGAAACGAGGTGATACAGAGATATACTGAAAAGACCAGAATCAGAGGAGTGTAATGGGCGAGTTGGGTGTAAGGGAGGAGCAGTTCACAGAGATACCAGGGAGCCAGGCTGTGCAACGATTTAAAAGTAAGCAGGAGAATTTTGTATCTAATATACAGTAATATACAGCCGGAAGCCAATGGAGATTGAACAAAATTGAGGTGATGTGGGCAGAGCGCTTGGTGTGGGTGAGTATTCTAGTAGCAGAATTTTGAATATACTGTAACCTGGAAATTAAAACTTGCAGGTAAATGAGACAAAAGCATGAATAGTGGTTTCAGCATCTTTGACATTAAAGAGCAGGTCATATGGTATTTTAAAGTGTCCTAATATTGTGTTGAGTGTATTAATATTGAGTCCCCTACAACTGGTTTAAATGCATCTAAGGTCAGAAAACATTGTAATTTTCTCAGAATATACATTTAATATTAGAGTCATTTGCCAATGATTTGAACGATTCGTTCCAAGCAAGTTCGGAGCAAACCCCTCCCTTCCATAAGCCTACTCTGCT